AAAGGAAACACCATTGCCAAAATAGCACACCTATACTCACTGATCACTTACACAACACAGGGGAAGGAAACTACACATAGAAAAGAGATACAGAAACTCAAGCATGTGCAATATATATATGGCTTAATTTGGCTTAGGTGGTTAAAACCAGCCAAACACGCACTTAATTAGTCCAGCTAAGATTTAGATATGCAGGGAACACCCTGGTTTACTGCCAGCCAGTTTGGCTAGAAGGTTTTCAATTTCCTGTGTGGCTGTCCATCCATCCTCCTGGTCAAAATCCCTTATTAGCAACTAATACAAGTCTCTTTCATTCTGTCATGCACATAAACACATAGGCCGACAAATTAAGATCCATATAGCACTAGCAGTATGCCTATTCAAAAATCTGTCTAACATATGCAGAGACATAGCTTAAAAAGGCAGCAATAAGAGGGGTAGATGAGGTCACAGAGAAGTCTTCAAGCAACATATCCCCAGGTCCAGTTAAAAATGAACCAAGTCCAGCTTTTTAAAAAACTGTCTGAAGATAAAGGCAGTTTTTAAAACTCCCATAGTGTGAAATACTTTTTCTTCACTGCCATTGTCTTTTAATGTGATGGGAACCAAGTCTGAACTTTCTGCATTAAAGTCTGACATGATACATGCCCGACTACCACATTGATCTCAACATGCTTTCTCTTTTTTCCAAACTTTTTCCAATTTGTTGATTCAGACTAAGGAAAAAGTAAGAAGTAAACAAAGTCATACAGACTTACACTGATTGAACAGATTGGTGAGGACTTCCCGTACTAGATGGACCCGCGTGGGGAAATCAAACTCTGCTCATGCAGCAATGTTTATTTATCTTAGATGGTGTCACACTCTCCAATAAAAATAATAGTCAAGATGGACCATGTATATCATAAATAATGACGAACGGGTACAGGTAGGAGACAGTCATAATCACAGCACTACACCTAAAGGATCACTTCCTGGACTCTGTCTGATCATCTGGTTGATTTAATAATAATTTATCCTTTGAATTTATGCTAAAATCCAAGACCCCCACTCATAAAATGTTGTTGTTGGACCATTTTTGCTTTCAGACCACAAACAAACCCTGCTCAGAAGCAGATCAAGACGGGCCTTTTAAGACCACAGCTTCCACAGCCTCAATAACAAAAGTAAACAGACAAATGCCTCAGAGTTTGTTTGAACCAAACCAAAGCAAACAGAATAGGTGTGAAAACACTACTGCTTTCAAAATAAAGGCCACACTGCTTCCTGCATTGGCATTGAACTCACATCTTTTGTGCAGAATCATCCAGTGTGGATGTGATTCCTAGGGACCCTGTGCTGCCAGGAAACATCCAGCAGCTACTGTAATCTAGATCACTTACACTTCTAATGATAAAAGGTCAAAATGAGACAAAAGGTCACCATATCGACACCTGTACCAATTCAGTGAAGCGCCAAATTGAACTTCATATGTTGTCCAAAGATGATTGTGTACCTCTATCATTTTCAGGCAATGAACCAAAGAATTTTCTTTACATCAGTTAAAACTTTTTCCAAGTTATTTCCCATACAGACAAAAACAACAACTACATTATTGCATTGTATGCCTTTGCTTGACCTGATGTCCAACGATGTTGCATGTCAGTGCACATCAAGAGCTTGCTGGGCGCTGTGGGTTTCTGAAAACAATACAGCCCATAACAAGGAGTCATGCTGCTGAAAACCCAGAATAAACAGTACATGAGCAAATCAGAGCAAGGGCTTTTGTTGTACACACAGTGAAATGCATCACTTCTGTCTTTTGTATTGTACATCATTCAACAGTGCATTTACAAAATGAGAAGAGAAGTAGGTCATGCCTTTACCTGCTTGAAGGCTGAGGTCCAGCAGGATAAGAATCTTGATGTAATTGGCTTACTTCAACCATGGTTCCAACAGCGTGTTCTGCTATGAAACTCAGAGCTGCCAGTCAAATTCTACTTTTAATAAGCCAATGCACTGATGAAAATGCCCCAATTGCCTTTAACGATGGCTGCTTCTTTTTATCCCTTACTGCATAGGTACTGGATATCTAACAAGGTACGCAATGAGTCCAAAGGGAAATGAAACGTCAACTATACCTGCAGCATTGCTCTACTGTGTGGGGATTTATAGTCTTTACAACAAGTGCATTACCTCATACATGCTGATATACAGTAAATAGTGGAATTCAGTCTTTACAGAATCTCTGATATCCATTAACCCTTGTGTTCTGTTAAGAATCTTAAAAATAAACACATAAACCTATTTACATAGGTATTTTTGTCTGTACACTGCACGCAACCTACTAATACTGTACGACTTTCTGTGACACCACAATATAGACAAACTGGATAAAAACAAAGAGCTGATAGTTTTCAGCTCAATATTTAGACATGTTCATCATCAATAACTCTAAATCAGCTTTCATAGCAATTGTTATTCACTGCAGCATAAACTTTGACTGATAATCCCCAAGTGTCACTTTCCATCATAATATTCAAACCAATATCCAGCTTGGATGGCCTGACACAACAAATGACTTGATAGAATGCCAAAAGCCAGAAAGAGCTTTTCAGATTTTTGTCAGTAACCTTTTCATTTTTTCATCTGGAGAGAGAAAATGTATGCACTATGACCAAGGCCCAATGTTATTCTGACTTTCATTTTCCTACAGTCAAAACTCTCCCTTCTATTTTCACTATTTATTCACATCTTGACCAATAAAATTTACACAGCGTTATTTAAAATAAATTCACTTGATTTTCTTTTGTTTTGTTTTTTAAGGCTCTCTAAGTTTGCTGTCCATCTGCTCACTAATCACACTGGTTGGACTGTTCAGCTTCCTATTGCTAACCAGTACCCTTGGTCCAGACTGTTTGCGCCTCCGGAGGACAAGTTCTTTGAGCCTTGGAAAATATTTTTCGATATTCCTCTGGAGCGAGGGAGCAAACGCCCATTGTCGGTTTATGATTTAGCACTAACTTTATACAAAATGTGAACCTTGGCAACCAGCTGTATTCTAACGTTAGCTTAGCTACCCTTACTAGCTCACAGCGTTGTGTTAAAACAGACACAGAGAGGAGGAGCTGTTCACAGATAGCCTATCCTCAATTGTGAGAGAGCAGGGCAAGGGGACGCTGAGTCAATCAATGCACTGCCTGCAGCTCTACAATGGAAATATAATGTACCCATTCAAAACAGTTAAAAAAGAAAGAAAATCAACATGTGGCAGTCAATACTGATATTGTAGTAGACCACAACAAATAAATCAATGTATGGGAAACACTGCAAGTTAGTTTTGCGTTACACCTCTACAGTACAGCAGACCATTTGGGTTGGGTACAGCGATAGCTTTGTGTGCACACACTGTATCTCTCAGTGGAGAAATTTTGATTGGTAACATGACTTTCTGAAACTTATTATTATTATTATTATTATATCTCTAAGTTGTAGCTAGTCTAATAAATGCTTGCTCTTTCTCTACAAAGTTCTCACTAACTAAGGCATCGTTGACCAAGAAAAGAAAATATCCTGCTATACTTTCTCTACTATTAATCATAATCCTATCTAACTCAGAAAAGGTGACTGTTCAGCAGCACATCTGAACATTAGGGGCCCTATTTTGAGGATCCATGGCGTCTGATCAAGATGTACTGGTGCAAGGGATGTTTGAGTGTGTCCATGTTCACTTTGATAATTTGATGACAAGGAAAAACGGTTCAAGTGCCCATGCAAGAAGCAAAAAGGCAGGACTTTATTTCCTCGTTAAAGCATAACAAGTAACTATCCAATCAGAGTCACATTTAAGAGATGTGTGAGTTTGAACATTTGGCAGATTGCTAGCATACTGGTGGACACGCCAGGTCAGACGTCACTGAAGAAACGGATCTGCTAATGCGCAGTGAAGGCGCACGATCACTAATCAAAAGGGGATTTATTATAAATTCATTTCTAGCGATGTCCATAACACCCAGTGAACACAATGTCATCTTTTTACTTTTTAAGTTTTGCATGTCCTGTGCAGCACATTCCAGGGTATAACAAGCACAGTGCAAAAGCATTGTGCAAGCACCTAGACAGGCGCGCATCACAACACAATCAAAGCACCCATTAAAACTAACAATGATGATTTAATTGCTGATCACAGATCTGTTTTTTGCTGGTCAGGGGCGCAGCTACTTTGTGTGCCCTCATTACCAACACACCCAAAATTTACCTGAACACACCTCATTTTCATCTGGACACACCTGCCAGCGCAAAGTCGACAAACCGCTACTTGGTGAAAAGACAACATGGTGTGCATGTCATCAAAATGGTTATTGTGCAGGTAGGAAATCAGGAAACACAAACAGGCTACATGCATTACACACCATGCGTTTGTTAGAAAGGGCCCTAGATATCAATGTTGTTTTGTCTTCCAGTGATTCCAGGAGGAGAGAGAAGCCTCTGATTTTTAAAGGTAATACCACACTCACAGGCAGTGCGGCTGCTGTCTACAGACACACCCTCAGCAGGTAGACTCAGTCAGCGGGCCTATTTCTTCACCCCAAACACAAATCTTCAGCAGAGCCTCTCCTGCTGACTGGCTCAATCTAATGCTTTCTCATTCTGCCTGTCTCGACCTCACCTTGTTACCCTCCCCGTCACACTGTTTTTGCACTCTTTGCAGTTTCACACAAAAACCCTGTCAACTGTTTCCTCTCATTTATATAGTATATCTACGTTGGAGCTCTAAGTCCTGATTCAAACAGAGGAGTGCATCTGCAGCCAAGGTGAGACACCAGTCAAATAAACTGAGTTCTTTCTATACATACACCAGACTGACTGAGACTGCACCAATGTGTAAATCCCTTTTTTTTTATATAAATTATGCTACAACCCAGGAAACACAAAGAAAAGAAAAAAAATAACTGCATGTTGATCTAATTCTCAGCAAAACAACTTTTTCATGCACTTTACAGCTGCTTTTGTTTATTCACCTTAATATGGCTGTACTCCGCCTTGCCGGACTCACTGCTGACAGGCTTGGTCTCGGGCCTGGGTTTGAGGACTTGACGCAATGGACTGGAGATCGGCAATCCTGTCACACTGATCCCATCTGAAAAAAAACATCATACACAGTCAGCAAAAAGCACAGTGTAGAGACAAGGATATCACTGAACACTGGCTAGCAGAGCATCAGTTCAAACTATCTCACATTGTTATCAAAAGTCTGTGGTACATTACTTTTTTTTTTTTTATAAACTCACTTCCCCTCATCTATTGTTTATTTAGTGATTTCCAATGATTCCGCTAAGGACTATGCGCCTCAAAATCAATTGATGATCCCCAGAAAACAGGAAAACAGGCCCAAACTTGCTGCTTTTGATCACAGGTAACAGTAATTGCATATTACATGCATTCTACATGCACAGCTTTAACACACATGACAGATGACTGGCATAGAGAGTTAGAGAAGAGGAAGCGGGTGGGTGCCGTATAATTTGATTTGAGTTCAGCCTTCAATGTAATAGATCATTCCTTGTTGTTAAATTGAAAAATTATGGATTTGCTTTCACTGCACTGAAGTGGATGAAGAGCTACTTGATGAACAGGAGGCCGACAGCTTCCTTCAGTCTTTAGTGTTTACGTCAGCTTTGTAACCTTGTCATTCCTGGCTAATCTGTTAGGAAATTCTGATTAAAGCATTCATATTTTAAAGCACATGCCTAAAATGTGTGTAGGCCTATATCAGTTTTGATGTGAAAGGCAAGTGAATATAACACCTGGAGCTGCACTGAAATTTTTAATGAGAAATCATCCACTATGATCGTAAATTGTAGACTCCATGTGCTGTGCAAGAATGAAAAGCTGGATGGACGTATCAACAGTAATTTAAGGGGGACAAAGTTTAGCAAATGGTCAACTGAGACTTTATTAGGCACAGCAAGCCAAAACTAATACACTCCAGCCCTGCAGGAAACCCTAAAGGTTATAATGTTCAGAGAGGAATGGATTCACCTTTATGATCATTGTGGATGCTGTTGTTTCAAATCAAACCAAATTTTATTTGTATAGCGTCAAATCACAACAAAAGTCATCTCAGGACACAAAGTAGGGTCTAGTTTGTAATGCTGAGCCGTGTTGCATTATACTGAGATGTATCTACCTTCAGTTGTTACACTGCAAATATCATCCTGTACTTGTTTTCCATTCATGGTGCAGTAGCTGCCCCAAAAGGAACTTGGTTTTTTAAATATTTTTAAAGAGAAAATTGGATATAATCAGATGTATGGTACTATAACCTTATGAAGAATAAATGAATGGTTCTATATTCATGACCTTGACAGAAGCAGTGTGGACACAGGAGCAGCTGCACCATCAGTGAGGCACCACCGCAGGGGCTCCTGCTTTCAACCAACTCTGGCTATACTCAGAAATGATGCCCAGAGCCCATGCTGTGACGTCAAAGGGTTCATATCACTCTGACGCCAGCAGAATGTCAAGCACTACAATTTTCCCTGAGAGGGGAAATTACTGTTCTTTGCAGCAGCTCAGGCAATTGGATTCAAAATAGACAGATATACATATTACCCAGCTATAAAACCATATAACAACAGCATGCAAGATTAGAAACCCAAATGGAAGAGTACTTCCATTAAAAAGAAAAAGCAATGGACATTTGCTGGATTTATAGAATACATTCTCCATTATGGTATGCAGCTTGTTTCAGGAGCTGCACATGACTTGTCACATCCTGTGGCACAGAGACTGTGTGAATAAATGGGTTGTGTGATTAACAATAGCACTGCTCACAACCAACCCCTCTTTTACACTTTCCTTCCAATCACTGTCTGTCCAGTTCTCTGTTTAACCACCTGTCGGACAATCCGAGGAACTCAGCATCTGTATTGTCTGTAGCAAAGATTGGCAGGGTCACTCCTAAAATAATGCTAACATTATTAGCATTTACACTCACCAGCCATGTTATTAGGTACACCTGTACAAATACGATACAATACGTCCACCTTAACATCTGTGTTTCATTAGGTCATAAATTAAATTCTATGTTTATTCTTGAGGTCATAGTTAAAGATGGTGTTGTACTGGGCTACGTTATATTTAGAGGTGTCTCTATATTTTTGTTCTTCGCCAGTACAGACATGAGAGGGTCAGAATATTAGGAACAACTCTGAATATAATGTATATTAATGTATAATATATATATATCAACTAAAGATGAACACCCCAGTTTGTCATAAAAGTGAGTAAGAACACTGACAAATACTGTAACTTTGTGTTATTTCTGGACACCAAATACACCATTAAACCCATTCAAACAACACGAAACACACACACACAAGATATATATATATATATATATGACGCATCACTGAAACTCTGAGACTGTGAAAACATCATTAGGCTTCTATCAGTCTTAGAGAGAGAGGGAGAGGAATGAGGATACATGATGACCAGAAGTCTGTTAAGTAATATACAAAGATCTGAGCAAATCATTATCATAATTACAGAGAGTTGTTCCAGTCGGTCTGGACGCCCCATTAAATCAGCTCCTTAGTTTTAACAGCAGTAACAAATGTCTGGCTTACAGATATTCACAACATTTTACTTGAGATGTCCAAACAAAGGATAATAATTTTCTACTACCGTTTTGTTTTGTTTTTTTATTTTACAGCTACTAATGTACGTTTCTCCTTGACGTTTATAACATACAGGCCACAGTACTAGCACATTTTGTTTGAAACCATTTCCACCAACAAAACTGCAGTTAGCAATCATGTTGTACTTTTTGCATACTATCCTGCTGAGAAACCACCCGCATGTCTAGGACTGTGATCTTTTTCCTTTGATTTTCTGTTAATTAGGTTTACCTAGGTTTCAGTACTATAGGTACAGTCATGATGACCATCACTACTCAAGATCAAGGTCAAAGATTTTTGTCAATTCACTATATGTGCACAGAAAATCTAAGGCCGTTTCTCTCTCACCTAGTATTGAATGCAATACTATTTAGGAAACTAAAAAGAGTAAAATTAGAATAAAAAGAATGAGAAAACTAAGTCAAATTGATTAGGATAGAGCTAAACGCTACAACCTACTAGTCTATGACTCAAGCCATGTGCAATCAATGACAGTAGTGATAATAATAACAAGAAGATTGTCAGATGGTTGTGAGATTGAGATGCACATGGACAGTAGAGCAAATGACCAACAGCAGCAGATTTACATGTAATATAACAAGAAGGGGGAATGTACTGGGTTTGTGCAAAACAGCAGAGGTAGTCTTTTCATGTTCTGTGGTGGGTCACAGTCCAGGGGCAGAGGGGGGAGGTAATGGACAGATAGCTGCTCAGTTTGCTACAAAAACAGAAATACTGGGCCTGGAAGAACACCACTTCCTTTTCTGCTAGAGCTGGGTATAATTTGTGTTTCAAAGCTATTCAGCCCTCCAACAAGCAGTTCTGATTGAACATACTGGCACCTTCATGTTTATGCCATACCCATGTCATAGAGGATGGAGGGCAGTGGTTGAAATGATTCCAGTGTTAACAACTTACAAGTGTTCATGTCATCAAGATGTTTGTGTAATTACAGAGATAGCTATGTGAGAAGCAAAATCCCATACAGTGACAATAATTGGTAAAACATACCGGAAGCGTTTTTCTTGCTATTTTTGTCCAGTGCACTTGTGTTGTTAGTCAGGCTGAAAAGACTCTTTGTCCAGCCGCTGTCCTGCTGACAGACAAACAGCTATTGTGATGACTTTAAACACTCAGAACACACTTGCTTTCAGTGTGGATTGAATGGAATTACACTTCAGTAGCACTTATGTCTCACTTCCAGTGTGTTTTACCAATAACACCATATTCATACATTTGGGTTAAATTATGTAGTGTGAGGTATCCTTATTTGTTTTGTTTCCATAACAGTATTGCAAGTGCCAGGTCAGATATGCTGAAGCCTTCAAAAAAATCTGAGTTTGCCAGTCATAATTACAACTTGGAAATCTATCCATCCATTACACTGCTTATTCTGAATAGGGTGGCAGGGGGTGCTGGAGCCAATCCCAGCTGACACTTGGTGAAAGAAGGGGTCCATCCTGGACAGGTTGCCAGTCTATCACAGGGCTGACATGCAGGCAAACAACCACCACTCACTCCTACGGGCGGAGTCACCAATCAACCTAAGCTGCATGTGGACTGTGGGAGGAAGCCAGAGCACCAGGAGAGAGCCCACACCAGGCACAGGGAAAGATTGCAGAGTCTGGGTCAGCCAGGCCTCAAACCCATAACCTTCTTTCTGTGAGGTGACAGTCCTAACCACTTTTTTTTTTTGAAGTGGGGGATCTACCCAAGATGCATGAATGTGTCATGTGACTGAATAAATGGAACCCTTGATTTAAATTAGGAGGTATCCAAGAAAAGCATATTAAACAAAATTACAAGTCTCCCCAGACATTCAATGCCATTTTTGGCATTTTGTGCCATGGACTCACATTGACCAAATCCTCCCCCAAAAAGTACTGAGGTTTGATACCCAGCTGCTCTAACTTACCAGACTGAAGATGTTAAAGAAGCAAATATAAAAGCTTTCAAGAAAGGAAGTGCACTGCCGCTGTGTTGTATCACTTGACAACAGAGAGCAGCAAATGGAAATCTAACACGAACATGTCACAGGCAGTTGAAAAAGTGTTCTTAGGAGCTGAGCCTACTGGTGTATGGTGAAAGCTAAGTATCTAAAAACTAACCACACAAGTGAAACAGGAGTCCAGTCTCTCACTGGTGTTGACTGAGGACAAACAATAAGTAAAGGGTAAGACAACACCCTGTCTCTTATTAATTTCAGCAGTCTCTGAATGCATCTTCCTCTCTGAGTCTTTTAACTCATGGTGTTTGTCGGAATAATGTGTTTCATGTATCTCTTTACTCAGACACAGACCTTTAGGTGTGTACAAGGTGAAGTCTTCAAAGGCAACCACAACACCGACGACAGTTGCTCTGTCATTAGGTACGACACTCACACTATTTAACACAATAACACTCGCTGTAGGTCAAGGCCCATTAGTCCTAAGTGATGACATCACTCCTATTTATTCCT